GAAGATGTTCTGTTAGATTTGTCAGGATTCGCAACGTAAGAGTTTTCTTGAAGAAAAAAAATCATCTGCACCATGACGGCACCAATCTGTACGTTTTTCCACTCCTATTCGGTGTCGCCACCTTCATGCAGAGTTTACTCATCCATCTTGTAGTTTGTGCAACCAGCTGAAATACAGTAATGATGGGAAGGTATCGGGGGGGGAGGGAGTTGTACCATGTCCAAGTAATATTACGGTGATTTGTTCCAAATCTATGCAATGGATGGCAGCCTCGAATCCATCAGCTGACGCGCAACAGCTCCCTCTACCTTCCAGTGTTCTTCGGGCGGCATGCGTACACGTGCCTTGGGGTGAGCGCGACAAATAATGTTTTTTGCTCATTGTTCAAACTATAGTGCCCGGTGTAAATGTGTGAATGTGAGGGCTTGCAGCATAACTAGAACCAATCCAAATGCTGTACTGAGTGGTGGGGAAGTGCATCTGTCGTATATGCTGGAAGACCTTTGACGTCTGCTTCCCACGGATGTCAGGGTGGCACACATTTTCTTCCAAAATGGTGGTACATGTTGCATCAGCTGTGCATGGGGTATGTTGCATCAGTGATGCAACGTAACGTCAATATGCCATTGGCTGAGTTACTGTCAATGATTGCCTGGCATGAATGCCCTGACTTATTGTCATCCAGCAAGCAAGTCGACAGTTGCATTACCTACGTAGACCCATAATTTCAACCTGGGTAACGAAAACTGAGGTGACAGTAGTCAAACAAAACCGAGGTGACAGTGGTCAAACAAAGATGTGTCACGTTACAGTCACGACGAACACCGAACTAGCACAGCCGCGCGCATTCGGTCTATATGTCGTAACGCAGCCAGCTTGCTCGCGATGCAACTTACTCTATGACAACAATAACATAAGCACAACTTCCCCTGTCGTATGAACAATTCACCCCAGGGTAGCGCAAGAAGTCTCATTTGAAAGGAGGTCATTCAGAAAGTATTTATCAAAATCGGAATCCATGGTCTCTAGAACTTGACCGCAACATATCAAGCTGTAGGTTAAGGCTGTCGTTTGAGACAACAATGCTAGTACTATCCTCACTACTGGGGGCAAACGAGTGATCGGAGAAACAGCTAATGTTCTAATACTAATACTCTCTTCTTTTTCCTTTTCGTTGTGGCATCATCCAATTTCGATAACGGCCTGGATAAGGTCGGAAGCATCGGTAAACTCCAGCACAGTTTCGATTCCAGCAGAGCCCAGCGCAGTTTCCATTACCGGAGCAAATGCTGTTAGATGAAGCGAGAAACGACTTTCGGAAGCCGTTTCAATCGCCATTGAGTACCCACGTTCCTCTGAGCTTGATAATAGCTCAGACATGTTTCAGCACGTGTGGGGTCAAATGTCATGCCTCTACGTCATGCTTGCAGTGGGCGTCATCTTAAGCCTCTGCACACATATCAGACACCGACATCTTCGCCCAGTTCAGTGTGCGGCGGGTGAAGGTGTATGCTCAGAATTCGGGGCGAAATCTCTTGACGATACACCTTAATGCATGCCACTTTTATCCCAAGCATGCCTACAGGTGGAGATAGCACTTCGGGGTTTTGTATTGATAGCATAGTCAAATGCACATCACAGACACACCGCAGTGCAAAAGCCAGACAACCACATGGTTATGCGGTCTGAATGAACGCAGAAGCCGCGGTGTGATCAATGCACCGTCCAGTGCTCTTGAGCGTTGATGTTCATGTCTCACGTATTTGTGTGGTCAAGTTTCCCAGAGGAGCTGATTCACCTGTTAGAGAGATAACTGCGGACGGAGGATTCTTCACACGTGGTGACCAGGTCAATGCATTCACTATCCAATTTAGGGTGTTTGTTTGCTTCCGCAGCTGGGTTCCACTATTTACGGTACGCAAACACCGCGCCATTACCGACAAAGCGGTTTTGAACTGCTCAACTATGCTTTGGAAACCGTCGGTAATGGCGCGTGTCAGTCACGAGCGTTCTGCCGTAAAATGGCGGCCGCCTGTGCCCGCCGTCTCGCATCCGTGTCTGCCAGCTGCATATACCGCCTGTACCCGCCGTCTCGCACCCGTGTCTGCCAGCTGCATATACAGCCTGTACCCGCCGTCTCGCATCCGTGTCTGACAGCTGCATATACTGCCTATACCCGCCGTCTCGCATCCGTGTCTGACAGCTGCATATACTGCCTGTACCCGCCGTCTCGCATCCGTGTCTGACAGCTGCATATACTGCCTGTACCCGCCGTCTCGCATCCGTGTCTGACAGCTGCATATACTGCCTGTACCCGCCGTCTTGCATCCGTGTCTGCCAGCTGCATCTACCGCCTGTACCCGCCGTCTTGCATCCGTGTCTGCCAGCCGCATCTACCGCCTGTACCTGCCGTCTCGCATCCGTCTGCCAGCTGCATACACCACATGCGGATGAAAACGCTGAATAATGCCAGGCGATGGTCTGCTTCTCGAAAGTCCCAATCATCTGACCTCCTGCTGACGTCACTGAGCTCGTGCAGGCTCACGGTGTATACCTCTGACGTCCCTTTTCAAGCCGGTGCATCTTCTGTTGCTATCGCAAATTCATCCGAGGCCAGCGCAAGCAAAAACAAGCCAACATTTAAACATTAAAGGTTTATTCATGAAGAATTTACCGCTTATCGACCCGCCGAAGCACAGTGCGATATCATGTACTGTCATGAGGATCACCTGATGTTCTGGTTTGTGTTTCCTGTGACAATAAAGGCAGTTTCTATATCACATAAAAACAGGTGTGCAATGAATAGATCATGGAGCATTAAGCCATTGAGCTCACTGTTCACATCGCACAATTATTTTACCGTCATTCCAATGTTTAGGTACCGAAATTGCTCGCCAATCGCCGAAATTGACTGTACATATTTCAGTTGGTATGGCTGTATTCCAAAGCAGCAGCTGAGGTGCTGAAAAGCGGGACGCATTGCTGAAAACATCCAGGTGTTGCCAACACCGACAACTGCCGGCCGCTGGCACAGTGCCACGATTAATTGGGGTTTGGTTACATTTGCGGTTACGCATGTGATGTTTTAGTTATACGTGCAGCCGAGTAGGAGTGAAAAATGTGTCGATGCATGCGTATTTATAATTCGCAATTCTTACTACAAAAGTCATTGATCTTCAATGTACCAGAAGGTAATGGCCTTTGTGCGCCGTTATCAAGCAACTTGGTTGCATTCAGCGGCATCATTTGTCCCGCGCCCATGAACACAACCTGTAACGTCGAACCCGCGACCATGAACACAACCTGTAACGTCGAACCCGTGACCATGAACACAACCCGTAACGTTGAACCCATGACCATGAACACAACCTGTAACGTCGAACCCGTGACTATGAACACAACCTGAAACGTCGAAATTTGGTAGTGTTACGAATGTTTGCTAGATATCGTCACTTAACGAGTGGCATACTGAAGGCCCATTGTGATCTGCATACGAGCTGTCAAGGGACAGCTCCCGTATTATCATGCTTAGCGCTGACTGCCGATGCAGTGGTAGCCAAGTTCTGTAACTGTAACCCTGTCTCCGCTCATTAAGTCGTAGCCTGGTGTCACGGACGTAATCTGCCCATGTTGATTATGTTCACGGTCTCCACATATCTAGTGTGGCGTCACTTCAGATTGTTCCTAGACTTTCGTCGGATGTTGTATGAATTTTTGTTGCCGAGCCGACAGTTTCCGTGAATCTCCCGAGCTTTCCAATTGGGCCATGCACTGCCGGGTTCGTTGACCCTATCAGCTGAGCATGGCAGTGACAGCCAATCAGAACGGGTCTATAGCGGGTCAGAGCTGGTCATCTCGTGCATCAACAATCCTGGAACATCTACGGGGCTTCCGGCACCATACGTTTGACATGCCGATTGCGATCGACAGATGCATAATGCACGAGTGTCTCGAGTACCTGGAATGCGTCAAACGGGACGGATGGAGATCGTAGCTCATGGTCTTTACTGGATGCATTCGTACGCGCAACACGACGCAAGCGTGACAAGATAACACAGCACCCCAGCAACGCCTCATCATGGCAACACCAGACCACGGAAACTCAATACCACACCATTGTAAACCGCGTTGGCAGTGTTCGACGACACTTAATCAACTTGTCACTATCTGTTGTCAAGTCCATCTGTACAACCGGCGGCACAGTGCCGTACCTGACACTAAGCAACCTGGCCCACGTGCGTCCGACCGGTCCCCACAGACTGCATCTCACCCGGCCCATAGGAGCGGTGTCCGACCAGCTCCAGCTGACGTGTCTCTGATCCAGCTCAGCTGGCGTGTGTCTGGTCCAGCTCGGATGACGTGTGTCTAATCCAGCTCAGATGACGTGTCTGATCTAGCTCAGCTGTCTGATTTAGCCCAGCTGGCGTCTGTCTGATCCAGCTCAGCTGACGTGTCCAATCCAGCTCAGTTGACGTGTGTCTGTTCCAGCTCAGCTGACTTGTGTTTAATCCAGATACGCTAAGGTGTCTGATCCAGTTCAGCTGGCGTGTGTCTGATCCAGCTCAGATGACCTGTCTGATCCAGCTCAGATGACGTGTCTGATCCAGCTCAGCTGACATGTGTCTGACCCAGCCCAGCTTGCGTCTGACTGATAGCAGTCTCAACTGACGTGTGTCAGACCCAGCTCAGCTGACACCTGTCTGACCAGCACCAGCTGACAGGGTGTCTGACTGGCCGCCGCTGCCACGCGCGCCTGAGCTGGCGAGCGGAGAGCCCAGACCCGGACCCGGCCAGCCGGAGCAGCGCACTGGAGCGGCCCGCCAGCCCGGCGCCGCGCCGTTCCGGTCTGGCCGGCCGCCGGTGCCGCCGGTGCCGCCGCCGCGCTGCTCCCCTCCGGTCACACGCAGCCCGAGACGCCCGCCGGACCATGCGGCGACTGACCGCCGCCGCCCTCCGCAGCCAGCGTGTCCGGCCCAGCGCGACAGGAGGCACACGAGCCCCGTGCGTGTATTGTAACGCGGGGAGATGTGGAGCTCTCGGAGCTCCTTGTCTGCACAGCAATACAGGTCGCATGCCATCGACGTCACTCTGATAAAACCGTCACGGCGTACGACACAAATGGGCGGTGATGTTGCCGGGTCGGACGCGGCCGTCTGTCACCGGTCCGTTTTGTTGAGGTACTGCACGAACAGCGTGGCCACGCTTCCCGGCTGGGCAGGGTGCGTTTTGATGTAGGAGACGAACTGGCGGCGGGCGCGGCTGAGCTGCGCCAGGGTCAGCTGCGCCGACACCGTGTACCGCTCCGGGGTCATGGGCAGGCTCAGCCTGTCACCCTCCACGGCCGCCTGCTGACCCGCCATGATGGCCTGCGGGACAGGGGGGTCGGTCAGCGGTGACCCGGTCGCCGCCACCACGCGGAAGCGGAGCCGGCTCAGACTGCCACGCATGGCCGCCGAGCGCTGAGGACCGACGCGTGAACGGCGAGACATTACGGAAACCGCGCACAGCCAGCGACGGCCGACCCGGGGACGCATCATAGCGCGGAGCTACAGACCAGAGGCCGGGTCTTAGCCGCTGCGGAAGCGCTGGGCACGTCACCTTGTGACAAACCGACATGAAAACGCACAACGCTAATGCTTGCCGCAACATAATTTTAAACGGCTGATCTAGCGGTGGCCATTGCTAGGCCTGAGCGGTGCGGCAACAGCCCAGGGCCGGGGAGACTCCGCTGCGCGGGGGTGACACCGGGGCGGAGGCTGGCCGTCAGAGCACCGCGGTCTCACGTGGCTCGGCCCTCGCTCGATGGCCGTCGGAGCACCGCGGTCTCATGTGGCTCAGCCCCCGCTCGCTGGCCGTCGGAGCACCGCGGTTTCACGTGGCTCGGCCCCCGCTCGCTGGCCGTCGGAGCACCGCGGTCTCATGTGGCTCAGCCCCCGCTCGCTGGCCGTCGGAGCACCGCGGTCTCACGTGGCTCGGCCCCCGCTCGCTGGCCGTCGGAGCACCGCGGTCTCACGTGGCTCGGCCCCCGCTCCTTGGCTCACCTTCACCACCTCTTGCGTCTGGCGGTCCAGGTCGAACAGGAAGTTGGTGGGCGCCAGCAACGGCTGCAATATCGCAAATGCAATAATGAATTGAAGCATCTTTTTCGGAACGGCCAAGTGTTAACACCAGAGTGACGGCAGTGTGGTGTTACGCACAACGCGTTACACCCACAGCACGTATGCATGCCAGGTAGGTGTATCGGGAGCGCTTAAGGTATACACAAGAGGCCGACAAGACAGACCAACACCCCGGCCGGACCGGACCGTCTGCGGGGCAGCGGCCCGAACGGACGGCCAGGTACACGCACGTTCTGTGTGGACTGGTTGGGCCGCGGCGCCGGGGCGTCCAGCAGAGCGCGCAGGACGTCCGCGCAGGGCGTGGGCTCGTCCGGCTGCACGGTCAGCAGCGGGCTGTCCCAGCGGTGGCGGCTGTCCGGCTCCTCGTACCGCGCCAGCAGCGCGTCAAAGCAGGCCCGGCCGTACCTACGGCGACGGGCGGCGCGTCATGGGACGGGCCGGACGGCGGCGAGGGGCGGTCCAGAGGGCAGCACTAGCCACGGGCAGGTGCGCAAGCAAGGGCGGCGCGAACTGTGCATCAAGTACATCCGCAGGACAATTCAGTACTAAAAAGTTCAGTTTGTCTGCTTATAGACTGCTTTCAAATAGCCTGCCTGGGTAGGCATCCAGGAATGGTCTGGCTGAAGACTTCATACCCCTATACCCTGGACACCCCTGACACCCTTGAGCCTCTGAACCAGACACGGACCCAGGGTTTCGCCAAATGAGGGGTGCAAATTGGCTCCCGGGAACCTACGACCTGAGGCATTACGCAGGGTCAAGTAGGTTGTTCTTCGTATCGAAATTAGCGATTTTTTTCACCCGCAAGGGATCCCAATGTTACCTCAACAGTAGCCTATTGGCCGATCCACTAGATTTAGGCGCACAAAAAAGCTAGTAAAAAGCTCGTCCATCATTGTACTTAAATTTATCCATGCACCCACCACAAACAAGCTCAGACGCCTAGCAAAGAAGTCGCCCCCGAAGGCCCGGGAGACCACTTGCACCTCGCCCGCTCGTGCGAATTCACTACCCCCTCGTTCCGGCAACGCCTCGTCCAGCTGGTCTACGCATCAGCCAGGATGACGCCAGGACAAGGCGGGGTGACGCACCTCTCCGACGCGGGGCGCGCCAGGTCCCGCTGCCAGGCCTCCTCGGCGCTGATGGCGCAGTGCAGGGTCATCTGCGGCGTCCGGCAGTTCTTGCTGATGCAGAACAGCTCGTATCTGTACCCCTTGATGTAGTTGAGGCCGTCCAGGATCACTATGTCATCCTTTGATATTTGCCTGAGGAGAACATTTTGGTATCATGGATGGAATAATTGTTGGGGCTACTGTCCCCATCTGGTGTAATAATATGCATACAACGCTTCAGCCAGTTAACCCTCCGGTTGGCGTGAGGTGTTCTGAGCTCTGGAGAAGGACTGGATGATATTTGGCTTATGTGCGAGTCACACCCCGAATTCTCTTAATAGAACTGATGGGATTTGAATCAGGGTCTTGCAAATGAGAGTGCAGTACTCTTGTCCCTTTCAAATATCCACGTTTCATTTCATAATGCTACAGACCTCGCTAGTGGCATTACACCCAGGGCTATGTCAGCAACGGGACCATAGGGGCTGAGTGGTAAGTGGGCTTGGCTACCACGTGAGGGTCAAGGTTCCAGTCTCAGTTGCGCCATGGTTCCTCAGCCTTAATATTGCCACTGCCGTTTCTGGCTTTCCATAACGGGTGCGCGACAGCGTGCGTTGCGTTTCCTTTCAACAAAAAATGTCAGCTGCAGAGCACAGTTAGCCTAAAATGTCAAGCTCTTACTTTAACCCAGATTTTTAATTGGGTGTATTTATGAAACAACTACGGATACATACAGAGCCCATGTTAAGCAATGTTTTTTCCTGGGTCTAGATCCCATCACTGAACAATAACATCCCAGGTTCAATGCAAAACTGTGTGGCATATAAGTGTATGGTAATGCTTGACACAGTCTGTCCTACCCTGACTTCACCTGACCTTTGGTGTGACCTCTGCCACTGGCTCCAGGCCACCCAGTCAGTCACAAAAAGTGAACACTTAAAGTAACTCAAACACACACCCTCACCACTAGATGTATTATGAGAGATGTGTCTCAAACCCACTATGCTGATGAGATAGACTGGCATGATTGGCATGGAGGGTGATACACAATATTACAGATCTTACCAGACTCTGACAGCTCAGGCTGTATCCCATGCTGTACACACTACCGCATGCTTATAAGCTTGTGCATTAACTCCACCCTAAAAATGAGCCCATCTTCAATTCCAAGTAAAATACAACAAGTGCAAGCAACACCATGCTTATTCCTCTTTTTGCCTGCCTTCTATCCAAAGCAATAGATGAAAAAATGTGTATTTTCCATGTTCATCAGTGAAGAATAATTGCATCATAGGTAAAGCCTTAATCCATTTCTTACCTAACAACATCACCTTTCATTGCTGCACGCACATCCTTCTCAACTTGTGGTGCTGGGAAATAAGAGGAGTCATAGTTTGTATCCTTACTTACATTGTCTACACCTTAGATACCTAATAACACAACATTTTAGTCACAACATTACTGGCTGTAATGCTGCATGCAGCAAAACAACAGATATTGAAGCATGCCAAGAGCTAACCATTTTAGCCAGTATTGCAGTGTTGTGCATGCATACATAAGTCATGAAATTTATGTCTCATAATACTACGGCCCAGTCCTGTTTTGATGCTATTAAAAATCATCAAAACACAAATAGTAAAAACAACCAAAACCTACTGCCATCCTGTCTCCACCAGGCCTCCAACAGAAGTTAGAATGCAATAGTGCAGTAATCAAATAAACATCAGTGCCTAGGTCTAAAATAACAGGAGATAATGAAATGGTAACTTGAGCAGTTTGCAAAAAAACATCTGTTGCACCAAACATACATGGCAGAGCAGCAAAATCAGTCAAAGGATGTTAGTGGTAGGTTTATTGATGCATGATGCATGCATGACATTGGAAGTGCAAAGAAAAAATATTGGAATGAAGTCTAACAATCATTTGTACCTGAGGCTCCATTGGCAAACATAGACTACACCAACTTACATGAGTATGTGGAGTCCTTGGTAGAAATGTAATCATGCTCACATATGATCACAACTTTTCCCTTAAAAGACTCTTTCATATAACTTGACAAGTCCGAACACCTTTGTGATTTGCCCGATGCAGGGAAGCCAGTTATTACGACGAGGGGCATTTTTACTGTTATTAACGAAACACACACATTATCTGTACGTTGATCTAAATCCGACACACCCCGCGCAGCACGCACAGGAAAACCGATGCATTGATCAGGTGCATAACAAATTCTCCCCACATCTAAACCAGCGGTAACGTAGAACAATGCCGTAGGTGTCAAAAAGCATATAACGTGTACTCGAGTCGTATATGCTGTCGACTGAGTGGGCCACAAAACAGAAACAGCGGTGCTTCTCTTTTGTATCGCATGCGCCATTACGACTTCGAGGCAATACAGGTGCTCACCACTAAACTAAAAGGCTCTCAGTCCTGCAATTTGATTGGTTCAGCTGCATGACGTTTAACCACTTTTATCGGAATGCTTTTAAAACGCTGTGTTTCTAAAAACAAAAAAAAAATGTGAGCTTTTCTATAGTTTAAGAGCTTGCAATAAGTGACTCTCAAATGAGAGCATAGGGGAAGATTTAAACTCTATATTCACGAACTAATACATATGACATCATAAATGTGGACACATGTTCAGCACTCACAGCGATAAAAACAGCAAATCAGCTTGGACTAACAGGCTTGTAAACTACCGCAGAGCACTTACTCCGCCCGATATTCATCGACCTTGTGCTTATCCGGGATGCTTCGTGAATAGGAGTAGTTCCCGCTGAGGTGGAGGGGTCGTGGGCGGGGCGGAGTTGGCCCCTTTGTGCTCCTTGTGATCAACAGCTGGGTAGGATGGTCAAGTCGTAGTTCTGCTTTCCGTCCTTTTCTGTCTTCATAGGCGCACATTAAAAACAGGATGTCATTTTTGAAGAACCTGAAAAGCTTGTTTTCCCCTGGGGAGGGCGCATCAAAAAAGCGCCGCGTTCTCAATAATGTTAAGGTCGAAATTAACCCGGAGGAGATCTGGGAACTACAAGGTGAAATAGGTGATGGGGCATTCGGTAAGGTGTACAAGGTTAGTACATTGTAGGTGGAAGCAGTGAGACTGGCCATGTGGGACGTGTAACATACCCAGTGGTGGCCCGCTGGAGGGTGAATGCTGCATGGTGGCAAGCTGTGGTACCTGGTGAGAACACCATTAGAATTTTGGTTGTTTAACTGCTGAAATATGCTTAGTTATCCAACAATCTAATCCAAATTCCCTCTGTATTATCTGCCTGTGCTGGTTGCTTTGTGTTTTGCAGCTGTGCCATGGGAGAGAAAGGTGTGAAGGTCATGTGCCCATTTGATAACCAGTACATATTTTGAACCCATTCCTATTTTGCATGTGGCCAATGAGGTGTGTGCAGTTATTTGCATTCTTTTGTGAGGACCTCATGCTTGTTGGCCCCAAGCTGGGCTTCTCCTTTTTTATAGAATGTTGCATAAATTGGAAAAGGTTAGGCATGAAATGAAGTTGGGCAGGGTCCATTATTTCCAGGCCACAGTCTATGCTACTCAAATGAAGGGTGATTTGACACATGGGTCAGCAATTGAAGCTTGATTATTTGTTTCTTGAAGGGAAGTAGCATAAGGCTGTGAAAAACACATTTAGTTATTATTGAGCTGTTAGAGCCTTGGCTTATTCTTAACCTCCCATCTCAGAATCATTATACAGATTGCATGTCCCTGAGTAAAATGCTGGTAAAATAGCAGTTGGTTTGCTAGATCAGAACTTTGTGTTTTAATGTATGTTGCTATTACAAAGTGATGGACACCATCATGCATGAAATAAGTTATCAGGTGAGCCCAGATAAGGCCAAAAGCATTGATTTTATTAGGAAAATGTTAAGTCATTGGCTCTATAAAGCAACTGTAACTGCAAGATTTCAGCTTCTCATCAGCTGCTATATTTCCCATGAGCTTTTGTATAAACCCAGGTGACCAACAGTCCGCTGTGCGGTTGGCAATGTTTGAATACCTACTCCCAATATTTGAGGCTGTGCATATTTCACAGGCAGCTCTCATTATTGTAATGCACCAAAAGTGATGGGCATGCCAATCTCTAAGACAACTTAACATGTGCTCAGGCGGGGGTTCAAATTGATCCCAGAAGGTTTTTCCGGAATGGTTTCCGAACGGCGCAGCACGGGCACAACAAATTTGCATAGCTGTAGACAATTGAATCGCAGCTCATTTGGTGCCAAAAATTATTATGTACCTTGTGAGGTCGCTAACCTATGGCAGGTCAAATTCAGGCCATGGTTTCAGCAAGGTCAATTTCTAGGAAATTGTTCAATCTGATGTGACAGTTGATGAAATTGTTCAATCTGATGTGATAGATGAAGCCATACATCTCTGAGATGCTTTTTTAGACAAAAAGCCATTGAATGAGCAAATCATGTTGACCTAAGGTCAGGTATAAAGGTCAGACCAAAGCCAAAGCCAAACTGTTTTGTTACTCCAGGGCTTGCTGCATGGGATTGTTTCTGGTGCTCATTTCAAATTTATTGATAGCAGGAACTGCATTATACATCCTCCGTAGACTTTTTAGAGGTCAGAAAAGGTCATTGACCTATAATGACCCAGGCCAACATTTTGTTTTTAAAAACATACTGCCTAGTGTAATCTTTGTTGCTTATTCCAATGCAAAACTCTGAGCAATCTTTTATGATTTTGGTCACCATGACCTTCAAAAGGTCAAACAAGGTCACCGACCTTAACTGAGCATGTGACCTTTTGCCTAGAAACAGTTATCTAGGTTCTGGAGGCACTTTGGAGACCAATCTGGAATTTTACCTTGTTTGATCTTATTTGACCCAAAGGGCATGACCTAGGAACTTCAAACTTTAAACTTCATGAGTTCACATACAGGTCAAATCACCCTGTAAATTTGGTGCTTCTAGCTCTCTTAGTTCCCGAGATCTCGGTTGGGTGTCAAATTGACCCCCCACACAAACAAAGGGTATCTAGCCGGCCACCCGGGCGCGTGTTAAAGCATCTGAGTGGAAAGGCCACTACCTACAAGACAAGCAGAGACCCTGCAGGGAGTTAGGGGATGAAGAAGCCTTCAGTCCATTTTAAGATGTGATTTCAGTTTTTGTATCATTGCAAAAAGCAATGTTATTTTGCAGAAGGGGCTGGGAACATTTGCTATCTTGCCCTCATGTTTCTGTTTCCATTTTCCCTGATGGGAGTTTAGAGTGCATACATGAGTTTGCCTTGGTGCGAAAACTATATTTTCCCCAGTTCAAAACTGTCAGAAAGCATGTCCTAGCATCTCAAGTGCACCAGTTAGGCACATCTGCTGTTTACACTTCATGTGTTGTGTGCCTGTGTATTTAAAATTGTGTGGCATACTTTTGCAGATGGGTCAAAGACTTCCAACTTTCCATTGCACAAACTATGTCATTGTCCAGTTTTGCTCATATGATGCATACCTAGACCCCACTTTCAGAAGGACTGGTCCTTTGATTTGTAATGTAGTCTCAATCCCCAAGTGTGTTAAACATGTGGTTTAGTTCACACAATCACAACATAGTGAGTGTGGTCAGCAGCCTTACCATCGTGCTCGAAGTCTCTAATAGGGCCCGATATGTTTTTGCATACACTTCTGTTGCATGTAGCTGGTGCTGTTTGGTATGATCTGGTGTTTGTTGGCTGCCCAGAAAAACCAGTGATATGTGTGGTGCTGCCTCAGGCCCAGTGCTGTCACTTTGGTTTGGTGATGACCCAGTGTGACCAGTGGCTGTGTGATGCTGCCTCAGGCCCAGTGCTGTCACTGGTTTGCTGATGGCCCAGTGTGACCAGTGACTCTGTGATGCTGCCTCAGGCCCAGCACCGTCACTCTGGTCTGGTGATGACCCAGTGTGACCAGTGACTGTGTGATGCTGCCTCAGGCCCAGTGCTGTCACTGGTTTGCTGATGGCCCAGTGTGACCAGTGACTCTGTGATGCTGCCTCAGGCCCAGCACCGTCACTCTGGTCTGGTGATGACCCATTGTGACCAGTGACTATGTGATGCTGTCTCAGGCCCAGCACCGTCACTCTGGTCTGGTGACGGCCGCCAAAGTCTGTGAGATGAGCGAAGATGACGAGCTCGAGGGCTTTATGGTGGAGATCGACATCCTCAGTGAGATGCGCCACAAGAACGTCGTCCGCCTCATCGACGCGTACCTTTTGAAGAAGCATCTCTGGGTGGGTGCTGCTGCTGCTGTTTGTGCCGGTTATCTGACAATCTGACAGTGTGCTAGGTCTGCCATTGGGAGGAACAAGCCAAGGGTTTTTGCATGGCAACAGTTTGGTGGTCTGTCACCTTAATCTTGGGTGCCTCTTCGAGATCCGGGTTGGTGCAGGACGCGTCCATCTTCCTCATGTGCGAAAAACAACGGACGAATTTCTTCTGTAAAAGATTCGTCGTTTATTGCTATTGCATGTCCGAGCTGTTGCCTGCGCCTCGCAGATGCTGCTGGAGTTCTGTGACGGCGGCGCGGTGGACTCGATCATGGTGGAGCTGGACCGGGGCCTGAAGGAGCCGCAGATCGCCTATATCGCTCGCGGCATGGTGGAAGGTCTTGAATACCTTCACAACAACAACGTCATCCACCGCGACATCAAGGCCGGCAATGTGCTGCTCACCACCGACGGCGGCGTCAAGCTCAGTCAGTACTGCCACCGGCTTTCTTTCGCGGTCCGAACGTTTCCAGACCCCATGTGCGCCGCCGCAAGTCCTTGATGCCGCCCCCTCGGCCAGTCATCGCTCGCTCTCGTCGAGCCGCAATCTTGTGACGTATCGTAAGCCGTGACACCCGCTGCGTGTGCGCTCTGACTTTTGGCCGTTCCGTCCGGTGTGGCTGCCTGCGCCCCACGCGGCTGACGGGCGCCGAGCGCCGCTGCGTCTGACGGTCGCCGTCTGTCGCTCCGGCAGCCGACTTCGGCGTTTCGGCCAAGAACAAGCACAACGCTCAGAAGCGCACCACGTTCATCGGCACGCCGTACTGGATGGCGCCCGAGGTGATCGTGTGCGAGACGTCGCCCACCGAGACGTACGACCACAAGTCGGACGTCTGGTCGCTGGGCATCACCATGATCGAGTTCGCGCAGAAGGTGAGTGGGCGCGGCGGTCAGCGTCGCGCGCGCCCGTGCCGACCCCGGCGGCGGCGGCGGCGGCTGGCAATACAGCGATGTGGGTGGACGTGAGCAGCGGCGGCCTCCGGCCCCGACCCCGGCGCGCCCCGCTGACGCCTGAGCCGCCGGTCTGTCCGTCAGGAGCCGCCCTACAACGAGCTGAACCCGGTGCGCGCCATGCTGCGGATACAGAAGTACGACCCGCCCGCGCTGGACCGGCCCAGCCAGTGGAGCAAGGAGTTCAGCGCTTTCATCGGCGCCTGTCTCAAGAAGGCGCCCGCCGGCCGGCCCGACGCCGCAGACCTGCTGCAGGTACGGCTACGGGGTCTATGGCTACACGGCCTGTAGGGCTGCAGGGTCTGCCCGACTACAGGGCCTGTCCCAGGTACAGGGTCTGTCCTAGGTACAGGGTCTGCCCCATGTACAGGGGCCGCCCTGGGTACAGGGTCTGTCCTAGGTACAGGGTCTGTCCCATGTACAGGGCCTGTCCCAGGTACAGGGTCTGTCCCATGTACAGGGGCGGCCCTGGGTACAGGGTCTGTCCTAGGTACAGGGTCTGTCCCAGGTACAGGGGCTGCCCTGGGTACAGGGTCCGTCCTAGGTACAGGGTCTGTCCCAGGCACAGGGGCTGCCCTGGGTACAGGGTCTGTCCCAGGTACAGGGTCTGTCCCATGTACAGGGACTGCCCTGGGTACAAGTTTTGTCATGGGTGGAGAGTTTGGCCCGGACGCAGGGTCTGTCCTAAGTACAGGGTCTGACTCGGCGTCTTTGTAGGGAACAGGCTGTTCCTCTGCTTCCATCATGCTCGAGTGTACCGATCCTGTCCGTAAATCTGTTTCCTCGTACCCTGTTACGGTGTGCTGTGCCAGACACCGGTCCCCTCCCGTCCTCTGGCCTCTCGGTGAGATCGCGCATCTTGCCACAAGACACCCCCTGAAAATATAGCCCCGCACGACCGATGAAATGTCGCTGACTGCCGCTGAAAACTGCCGATACATATGACAGTGGCTGTAAAGTAAACTGCCCGAAGAGGGCATCCCGACCAGGCAAGGCCGTGCGGTGCTGAGCCCCCAGCACTTTGGTGTGTGACTGCTGCATTAAGTGCTGATGAGCGTCTCGATAGCAGCGGGCCGGATAACGCGGACGTTCGGAGCGAGGCGAGCTGTGTGAAGCGCGGAGCAGGTCCGGTTACGTGCCCCGCAGTGCCGCGGGCCCTGCACTGTCACGTGACCTGGCCGCGTGGCCGGGCGAACGGCGGGCGTGCCCGCACATATCCAATAACAAGCCACAATGGACGCGCAGCTGGCCTGGCCTGCCGCCGCGCCGTCCAAACAGGGCGTTTGCGTTGCCAGTAACATCACTGCACGTGTCCAAGCAGAGTTTTGAACAGAAACAACAATTCATCGTATTGTTACACTCCAGAGTTGAGACACCACTCAACCGGATGTTACTTTAACATCGCGCCCCACACTGTCGGCTGTCCTCAGCTGTGACTCCAACCCACGTGAGGGACGTCCAAACACGTGCTAGGCTCAGTTTTCTGTGGGCCGCCACCTACATGTGCCGTGACCATCTGCTGTCACGCGTGCGGGCCTCCGTCGAGAGCCCCACACGGCCGGCGGTGTGCGGCGCCACAGCCGGCCGGCCGCTCCCGACCCCTCCGGCCGGCACCGGCCAGCCGCCGCGCACCTCCGGCTCCAGATAGCCGCTATCTGCCGCCGGAGGTGCTATCTGCCGCCGGTGGGACATCAGCTTGCGGCTGGCTAGATATCACTCGGCTGGTAATCCTCGGCGAGTCGAGGCCGGCCGCAGGTGTCGCTGTCTTGCGAGTAAAAGTAGCGCGTGGGGGTATCCACGGGTGCACACGGTTTCGATAAGGCGCTATTGGGGTACCATTCTTTGCGCTGCAGAGCGGGTGCTGCATGCATTGCAGGAAATTTGGCGAGGCAAGGCAGGCGTGGAAGATATCGCGTGCGGACGGGCCCCGTATTTTGCTCTTTAGGAAACACGGGCCATGCAGGGCCACAGCGTGGCCAGGCAGCGGCGCCCCGACCGTGCCCTCTGACATGGACACGGCCGCGCCGGAGGGCATGACCTGCGGCGCGACTGGCGCTCGGCACGCGTGCTGGGCGACCGAGGCGGCCGCCACGACGCCGGCGCTGGCCGTCGTCGGACGAAACGTGGCCAGCATCCTGAAATAATAGGCGGCGCTCACTGTGACACATGAGCAGGGTTCATATCTGGCGCGATTATCGTCACGTTCCCATTTGCTAGAAATGTGTGGGATCGCCCTGACGTGCCTCCATAATTAAGCAATGGGAAGCGCCGTGCGCCTTACCTCGCCCGCGTCCGCCGTCGCCCGCGCCGTCACGCTCTGCTGATGTCGAGGCCGGCGCAGTCTCACAGATCAGCGTTTGTGGCGGAAAAGGGAAATATTGGACCGCTCGTGGTTATTTGTCCGGCCGTGCAGCCGCGAGAATAGGTCACGTGCAGGGACGTGTCTCGGCCTGCGTATGTCACCCTCGCGCCGTCGGTTTCTCGGTGCTAAGTCTGAGTCGCACTCGACTGTACTACGTTTCTTTAGGGGATTACTGGTGTGGATGTACACAGTGTCCCGAAAGTAAGAGAATCTCACATATATTGAAAAAGTGTACTTGTCGCGCGCGGATGTGAAAGATTTGTCATGCAGTGAGAAAGGCCCGCATTTTTCTCACCGCTCCTCTTTACGGATCAATGGCATAAGTTGTTATATAGTGTGCTATGACATGTATTGGTCTCACAGCAGTGGTGTAGCCAGGATTGAGCCAGCAGTGGGCCAAATGGAGCATAGAGACCTTTCAGTTAAGGGGCCTCCCACATCGTCACTACGGGGGTCCTGTTTTTCTATTGGTGACTGCCTTATACACAGGATCTTATTTTGAAGCCTTGAGAGCCCGTTTCCGATGTTTGAGAAGCGCTTCTGGTGTCTTAAGCTGTCATGAAGTGCGGGACCTTCGGCCTTAGAAAAGCCCGACCACCTTCAAAGAATGGGGGAAAGCGATCATACAAAATCTCCCCGTCCCGTAAGTATAAGCGGTTCTGTGTGGAAACTTATCTTCAAACACAGTCGTACTCATTAAGCCAAAAGCCCTTTATGTTAAAGTTCGACATAAACGCATCTAGTTAAACTGGATGTCGAAGGTGGTAAAAATAATTAAAATGCCAATAAAATAGGACAGAAACAAATAAATCCATTCTAAACCTGGCCGGCCGTTTCTCAGCACTGGCTGTCTGTGTCTCGCATAGCTGAAAATCGTAAATATAATATCGCAATAGAATAGCATGCCCAAACCACACCCATCTCCGTGGTGAAGTGTCACTGGGTGATCAATCACTTCGCACGTCGCCTTCAAGCCTGCGAGCAGCGACGTAGCTCACACATATTACGTGAAGTTCAATGATGGAGAAATGAACGAGCAGATGCAAAACGTAAGCCTCGTGATTTGCCATGATTCGGACAACAAATGACCAATGTTATAACGATGTCCATCAAAAAGCATATTTGCTGGAACTGGTGCTGTGCGCGCTCTCACGTTTCGGAAATCTTGTATGCAACGAGGCTTTGCATTTCTCATGGACAGTGTATGTATCTGTTTGTTCTCATGCTGATCATCTCATTGCGCGGAGAAGCAAGCAGGCGTGACTATCCAGAGGCGAAGTAGTGTGCTGGCCAAAGCATGCCATTTGTGCCTAGAGCAGGCTCAGACTTCTCCCCAGTTGAACGATGCAGTGTAAGTGTACCATGCTGAGCTCACTGCACTGCGGCAGAGCCCGCTGATTTCTCCGGGAGAGCGGCACAGGTCCGGCTGACGGAGGGGGAGGGGGTCCGGTGCCGAGGGTCTGGCGCCGGTCATTGCCTCAGCGTCACCCCGACGCACCGCGAGCTTCCACGCCCGCCCGGTCCCCTTTCAAACCGGGATCAAATGGCGTGAAATGAGGAGCGTGGTCCAGGGGCGGGGCGGCTGGCCGGCCAGGGTCCAGCCGGATGTGGGGAACACAGGCTGCGGCGTTGGAATCGGACACCGGGCATTGGAGTAGATGATCAGCCTTGCAGTTACATGGCTGCTTCATGCTTACCCGCGCATTATTCACCGTAAAGCCTTCTACGTCAAGCTGTACTTACGTCACGAACGACCGATTGCGCGTGGTTATGTGTTTGCCAGAAAGCCATGGGTTCAAGGCCATCATTGCTTATATCAGCAGCATACACGGATAAGAGAATGATGCTGACAGGTCAATCATAATGCCGACCAGTTATGCGCCCAGAGATCTCGTTTGAGTACTATTTGCCAGCTGTTAACGTCGCCAGCCATCATTGCTCAAATTCAACTTAGGACATTTATCTATGATAGCATCAAAATGAAGCTTACATGCCTGAAAGTCGTGAGAACTGCGCGTTGTGAATGTCAATGGAAACAGGAAATGGGTGTCCTAGTGCTAAGAGTGCGTAACGGACTTGTAGCAAATGGCACTGGGCCATTTTTCGATACGTTGTAGCTAAAACTCGCTCATGTGGTTAACGTGACCTGACAAAGACCTCAGACTGTCATTTTTCGTTAGAAACCAGTGCGGTATAAAACAGTGGAACATTAATGAGACCGTAGCGCAAGTATTTCCGCAGCTGCGGTCATTAGTGTTAAGGAGCTGACGACTTTTGCCGCTCTTCCAAGCGCTCAGTGTGCGTAAATGGACTTCTGGGTTCCTGAGCTGACTTGGGTATGCTTTTGATCTGGTGGGATCGCGTGAAATAAAGATAATATATCTGAAAGGATTGCGAACCTCATTTGTCAACATTTTGCATTAGATACCAATCCGAGAGATTTTGGGTCATACGCTTCTGTTGTCTTCTGTCGCTTGTCTGTTATCGCAAAACAACTGGATTTGAAACAGAAACCCCCGTGACCTGTGGATGAAGACGATTGGGTCTAGAGCTGAAACAGTGAATGTGGCGCGATGATGTTTTCCCGATCCGGCCGGCCACTCAACGGCGATGTTGTCACGTGCTCGGCATCCGTTGCGGCGTGGTGTGCTCGGTGGGCGGTGCGCGGGCCGTCAGTCGCTGCTGCTGCTCCGCAGATGCCGTTCATCGACCGCACGCTGGACAACAAGCCGGTCCGGGAGCTGCTGCTCGAGTACAAGGCAGACGTCGACGAGGGCTTCGAGGATGCCGCCGAGGAGGTGGGCCTCCGCTCCACGGCATTCGCCGGCCTGACCCAGCTCCGTTGGCCCGTCACAAAGCCGAAGCTGCACACCCGCAGTGGCGAGCGAGCCAGCCCCGTGGTCACGCGGAGAGCGTCCGCGTGTCATCGCCAATGTCCTGACGTGGGCTCAGTTGTGCGTGCGTCCTTCCAGTGAAATCGCACAGCACCGAACGTGACCGTTCGGTGTCGCGGGTCACCGAAACATGCTGCCCCTCCAATGGTGGTGTCTGGTACGCCGTGGTGAGGTTTTCCACACGTTAGGATGTGCCTCGCGTCTGCTGTGTCCGCCGCCTGCTGTGTCCGCCGCCTGCTGTGTCCGCCGCCTGCTGTGTCCGCCGCCGGCTGTGTCCGCGTGTGCCCGCCGCCGTGATTGGCGGCCTGTTGACCGAGCGCTCCCCTGCCGCCGGTAGGACAGCCGCGTGTCTCGGGTGAGCGACTCGCTGCTGCTGGGTCCGTCCGAGGAGGAGGAGGAGGAGGGCCAGGCCAGCGATCGGCGGCCGGCTGCCGAGGCCGACAGCAAGGTAAGCCGCTGTCGGACGCCTCTCCGCAGCTCTCTCCTGTGGCCCAGCCTCGCTCTGTGTGAGCCGTGCCCACCACCTGGCTCGCAGTTTCTTGCGAGCTGGTTTCGATCAGTGATGTTTTCTCTAGTTAGTTGCAGGCGACAAGGTATCAGCCCTGTGGTGTTATGGAGTTACTATGAGGACCGCGACTCGGAGAAGGTCCTGGGCCATGACGTCTTTGGGTCCTTTGTTGCAGGGCTCCTCAGAGTCTGCTGCCGCCAGCGCGGAGTCAACGTCCCTGCCGGCGACTCAGACTCCCCCGCCGTCGGCTCCCACTTCCCCGCCGTCGGCTCAGACTTCTCCACCTTCGACTCAGAGTTCCCCAGCGTCGGTTCAGACTCCCCCGCCGTCGGTTCAGACTCCGCCGCCGGCGACTCAGACTCCTCCGCGGCGAGAGGCTAAGTCCCCTGCTGAAGCTCCGGGTCCAGGTCCTGCTCCAGGTCCTCCCCAGCTTCTCCAGCCGCCCGACAATCCATCCGGTCAGCGTGCTGCTCCGCCGGCGGCGGCGGCGGCGGCGACCGGTGACGGGCCGGTCTCGCTGCGTCACGCCGAGCAGCGGCCGCTGGTGACGGCCGAGCCGGTGCTGGTGCAGACGTTCGCCGCCGGCGGCGGCGGCACCACTCGCCTCGTGCTGAACGGCGGCGACGGGCCAACGACGCCGCCGCCGGACCGGCCCGGCACGCGCCAGCTGACGGTCGGCGGCGGCGGCGGCACCGTGCATGGTGAGAGGCCAGAAGCGACGACTCGCTCCCTAGGTCGGGGACGATGAGTGTCGGGGTGTTCGATTATCCCCCCCCCCCCCACGCACTCACATACATATCTCTGGATTTAGGGGCAAGGCAGTCGGACAGACTTTTGGGAAGTTGTAAGTACGGATGTTTTGTCTCCGGGGATGAGCTTCACCTCGTCATCGTCTGCTCTGTATCCTTGCCTCGTGACTGTGTGGGGCGCCGCTTGGGTTTCGTCCAGACTGGCTGTGTTTATACATCCTTGATTTCAGCGTCTTCCATGTCCGTGGTAACGCTCCTTGCTGGCCATTTGGCCTCCTTGTTGGCTGGTGCTCCTCTGCGTGACTAGGCGCTTCCGGTCCGTCGCTGTGGCCGTCGTGTTCGCCGCGGGCGCGCATGTGTCCGTGCTGGGCTCCGCGCGACTGACCGGTCGCGCCGCAGGGCCGCCGCCGGCAGCACCTGCCGCCACGCCGCCCGGCCGGCCGGCCGGCCAGCGGCTGGACGACAGTGAGGTGGTGATCTCGGGCTGCAGCATCGTGGGCGGCAGTCCGCCGCCGGCCGACCCGCGGCCGCGCTTCGAGCTGACGCTGGAGGAGCGCCACGACGAGCCGCCGGAGCCGCCGGCGCAGAAGCCGCAGCCGGAGCCGACGCACGTGTCCGTGGTGCAGGTGGAGCCGGAGCGAGAGCGGTCGCCGGACGCGGGTGAGCGCGGCCGGCAGCTGCGGCGGGGGCCGAGTCCGGCGGACTCCCCAGTCCGGTCCACCGGACTGCCGGACTCCCCAGCCACGCTGTGTGCTACTGGAAATCGACGCTTACGGGCGGCCCGGCTAATGGCTCACGCGGTAGCCGCGCTGATGCGGCGCCGCGCCTGGTCATTCCCGCTGTGCTGGGAACGTCTCTGTGCTTCTGTTCCGTTGTCTCTCCGCTGCTTTCATGCGCGGTCGTCTGCCCGGGGCCGGCCAATCGCCGGCGCTGGGACAGCCGTGCTTGTCCGTGTGTCCCGGCCCTGCGCGGCCGCGGTGCGAGCCACAGCCGGTCCTGATGGCTTGCTGGCCTGTGCTCCGCAGGCTCTGCGACGGCGCTCTCGCCCTTCACGTCCATCACACTGCAGGGCACCACTGTGGGCAGCTCGGACGTGGACCACTTGGCGGAGGAGACCAGCCTCTCCCCCGGACACAGTCCGCTGCCGGCCCGGGTAAGTGGCCGAGGCCCGCCGGGGCTCAGAGGCTCGCCGAGTCGAAGTCGGGAGACTCGCCGGGTCAGAGTCGGTCAACTCACCGGATCAGATTTCGGAGGCTCGTCGAGTCAGAGTCAGAGTCACTGGTCCGCGCGTCCCTGCTCAGACAGCCCAGCTAGTGCTGAATGAGTGTTGACTGGGCTCGGACGGTGCGCTTCTGCTGCTTGTTGCCATGCCTGACTGCGGGACTGAGCAGCACTGACCACACTGACCATGGCTCAACGTAGTCGTTGATCAGTGTCGAATGGATCTATATAGCCCTGCGATGGCAGCGTTGATCGCGTCAGTCAACTGCTGGATAACGTGATAAATGCTCATCATTTTCGCCGTAATAAGGGGACTGTACAGCGGGAGCCAGGGTACTCGTAGTAGAGTGGTTCGCCTGCGCTTCGGGGAAACTAGAGGTTCGGGGTTCGGGGTTCGATTCCCCGTGGTGCCTGTCCTTCTTGCCAGGGCGAGAGGCAGGCGACGTTACATAACCTTAGTAGCTGAGTGCGTTGTAAATCCCAGTGATGACGACGCGCAGCAGGGGCCAGTCGCATACCTTTATATGGTGTAGCCCACAGCAAAGCCCATTTCAGGAGTGCTTTATAATATTTCCCCGTGGTCGCATTGCGCTCAACTATTGTCGCATGTTCGCACTGGCCTCGGCAAGCATGCTGCACTATGGGAGCCACTGGAGCTACGAGCGTCACTGAGCTATCGGCTCCGCCTGCAGCCGGCTTCGGGCGGCAGCAGCCGGGACAGTGACGTCAGCAGTCTGGCCCCGCCCACCGAGGGCGGCTCACTGGGCAGCGCGCCCGGCAGCCACTCCCCTTCTGCCGGGGCGGACGGCGGGGAAGTGCAGCTGCGCCGCAAACGGCCCGCACCGCAGCCCCAGGTAATGCCCCGGCATCCCCAGGTAATGCCCCGGCAGCCACTCCCCTTCTGCCGGGGCGAGCGGCGAGGAAGTGCAGCTGCGCCGCAAACGGCCCGCGGCGCAGCCCCAGGTAATGCCCCGGCAGCCCCAGGTAATGCCCCGGCAGTCCTAGGGACTGCTCCGGTAGCCCCAAGTACGGTCCCGGCAGCCCCAGATACGGCCCCGCGGCCCCAGGTACGGCTCCGTGGTGTAACCAAGGCGTCGGCTGAACCAGGTCCTATCCACCAGCTGCCTTCGCAGTACAGCCACCATGACGACGCAATGTAGGGTAGGGCAGGGTAATGCCAGAAGCGATGATCAGTTAGGGCACTGTTGAGCCCAGAGGAGAGAGGGCTCGTCTGGACGAGGCCGCGACGAGGCCGCACGGAACGCAGGTTGGGACGGAGGATAGGGCGGGAGGGCGACCAAGAGGATAAAGGACAGGAGAGCACAGCAGGACAAAGGGCGATGCAGGATCACTGATATGAAACGGCTGAGAACAGGATGGAGCGGAAAATTTAATCAGTGGCTGAAATAAGAGAACAGAGGTCAGAGCAGATGATTTCATCAGGGGCTGAGAGCGGAGAACAGAGAGTAGAGAACAGAGCAGGTGAAAGGTCCTCGGACGGGGCAAGGCCTGCATTGTCCTGCATGGCGCTGGCATGACCGGTTGCCTCCCCCTGTCCTTTGTATTATCCCTCGAGTGGTGCTGTGCTGTCCTTGTCACTCCCCTGCTCTGGTGTGCTCCACTCCGTCTGCCTCACAATGCGCGTGTCGTGCTGCTGGCAGGATGCGTCCAGTGACAGCGGCTCGCGCTCGTCCTCGGCCAGCCGCGGCCGCCAGCTCGAGCCGGCGGTCTCGGACACGCGTAAGAAGACGCGCAAGCGGACGCGACGCTTCGAGATAGACGGCGTCATGATGACCTCCACCACCAGACAGGTGTTGTACGGTGACGGGGAGACGGCCGGCTTCGACGAGCACGCCTTCCGCAAGCAGGAGCTGCGCGACCTCAAGCTGCTCCAGAAGCAGGAGCAGAAGCAGCACCGCGAGCTCTATTTCAAGGTGAGCAGACGGGCAGCCCTGCCCTGCCCTGTGCTGCCCTGCCCTGCCCTGTTCTGTCCTGCCGTGTCGTGTCGTGTCGTGTCGTGTCGTGTCGTGTCGTGTCGTGCCGTGTGTCCTGTCCTGTCCTGTCCTGTCCTGTCCTGTCCTGTCCTGTCCTGTCCTGTCCTGTCCTGTCCTATCCCGTCCCGTCCTGTCCTGTCCTGTCCTGTCCTGTCCTGTCCTGTCCTGTCCTGTCCTGTCCTGTCCTGTCCTGTCCTGTCCTGTCCTGTCAACGCCAGGGAGATGGGCTGCCTGTCGGCGCGATGCGAACCGTGTGACAATTGTCGGGTCTCAGCATCAGTGGGATATGGCACTGCTTGGGTGCCAGCTCTCTAAAAATCCCGGTTTTTGAGACGCGTCGTATCTCCGGCTGAGTGGCTCAGCTCAGTGGTCCCACCTCTGAGTAGTGTCGGGAGCAGCTGCGCACCGGTTCGGGCGGTGGCCTGCTGCGCCTGCGACCCGGCTCGGCGGGAGCACCAGGAGCCGCGCGGCCACTGACCGCGGCGCGCGGCTATCCGCCCCGACAGACGCAGCAGGCGCAGGAGCAGCAGCAGCGGCGCTTCGAGCAAGAGCTGGCCGAGCTGGTGCGCAAGTACGACGGCGAGCTGGAGGCGGCGCTGCGTCAGCAGCGTGCGGAGCAGGGGCGCGCCGAGCAGCGGCGGGAGCAGGACCTGCGCGCCGCCAGCAAGAAGATCCGCGCCGACCAGGTGATGGTGCCGGCGCCGCCAGAGGCGCCGCTCGGCACCCCGTCCCGAACGCCGGTCAGACGTGCGTTTGAAAGACAGCTTCGCACCTCTAGAATGTGTGCGGTTTCTTCATTTTTGGCGCTGTAGCAGTGTTGATCGAGTGGAGCGTGATCGGTCATTGATTTAAGGGTTTCCGTTTGCGGCAAGACCTGGTCATGCGCCGCCGTCTGTGACTTGCTCCGTGCGCCGTCCGTGCGTCCCGCTCCGCGGGGTAGCCCCCTGACGGGGCCTGTGTGCGCCGCGGCAGGAGCGAGAGCTGAAGACGTTCCGCGAGTCGCTGCGTGAGGAGGCGCGACGGCTGAAGCAGGACGCCGGCATGATGCTGCGTGACGTTAGGAAGGAGTCGCTCCGCGCCGGCAAGAACAAGATGGAATCCGATCACAAGGTGACGCCCGGCCACCGGCCGCAGCGGCCTGCGCACAGCCCGGACCGGTCTGCGGGTGCAGGCCGCTTGGGTCGCGTTCTGTGGCCGACCGCAGATGGCGATGATGATGACGAGGACCGTGGTGATGATGGTGATGATGCTTTGGACATAAAGGCGCGCCGAGGCCATTTTGCGTCCGCCTGGCCGGAAAGCAGGGCCAAAGCCGGCATTGGACGCCCAACTGGTGGCGTCTGCCGCTCGCCTTCTTGTTTGTAATGGCTTGTCGATAGCGAGGGTGGCGTGGTCAGTGCCGGCCGGCCGGCTGACCGGCGTCCCCCGGCCGCAGGAGAGGGAGCGTGTCTTCGTGGAGCGGCTGGACGAGCGGCACCAGCTGGCGCTGGAGGCGCTCTCCGAGCAGCACCAAGAGAAGCTGGCCAACATGATCAGCCAGTTTCGAAAAAAGAGGCACCAGGTGCGCCCCTCCCCCTCCCCCCGGGAGTTCACGAGACGCCCCCCCCCCCCCCAACCCCAACCCCAGCTCCCACCCGGGCCCCGTCTGGACGTGCGTCCACGGAGGCTCGACGGCGGTCTTTTGAGGCGCTCTGCAGCGGCTTATGTGAAGCCGGCGTTGGCGTCTGGACAGTGCTGGGCCGGAAACTACTGCACGCATCTACACTGAAAAACTGGAACTGGCTGTTGGATGGTGGCATGATTATGGTCTCCACATCTAGTCATGTCTAGTAAGAACGTTGGTTTTGGGGCCGTTTCGCAAACAGATTCATCATGTTGTTTTTGTTTAGCCCAGGCCCGAGGCAGCTCACGATCGTGTTGACCACCGGGTGGCAACTGACGCAGTAAACCTCTGCCTCTGACCTTTGACCTTCACTCAGCTGATACGGGACAAGGAGTCGGCGAAGGACAAGCTGGAGGAGCGCCACATCCAGGAGCGTCACCAGTTGAAGAAGCAGCAGATCAAGGAGGCCTTCTACCTGCAGCGGCAGCAGGCAAGTTCCCAAACCAGCACAGGATGGCACGTTTGGCTTGTGGTGGGCAGATCATGGGTTCGATTCCCACTTGGGGCGCGGTGTTTCTGTTCCCCGCCGCAGCTAGCATGTGACATGACGCGGCAGCGAGTGCGTGCCGGCGGCGCTGTCCGCGGCGCCGACGCTGCCGTCTGACCGCCGCCTCCTCGACAGATGCTGGCGCGCCACGCCAGGGAGGTGGACCATTTGCGACGGGCGGGCCTGCGCCGGTCCGACCTGCTGGCGCGCCAACAGCAGAGCGAGCGGCGCGCGCTGCCCAAGCGGATCCGCGCCGAGCGCAAGGCGCGCGAGCTCATGTTCCGCGAGAGCCTGCGCATCGGCCAGCCGCTGCCAGGCCGCCTGAGCACGGCCGACGGCGACAAGAAGGAACAGCTGAGCAACTTCCACGAACAGGAGGGCAAGCGGTGCGGCCGGTGGTCGGCTGGCCACCCTCGCAGTGTGGCCGGTGGTTGGCTCGCTACCCTGGTAGTGCGGCCGGTGGTCGGCTCCCCACCCTCGCAGTGTGGCCGGTGGTCGGCTCCTCACCCTCGCAGTGCGGCCGGTGGTCGGCTCCCCACCCTCGCAGTGCGGCCGGTGGTCGGCTCCCCACCCTCGCAGTGCGGCCGGTGGTCGGCTCCCCACCCTCGCAGTGCGGCCGGTGGTCGGCTCCCCACCCTCGCAGTGCGGCCGGTGGTCGGCTCGCCACCCTCGCAGTGCGGCCGGTGGTCGGCTGGCCACCCTCGCAGTGCGGCCGGTGGTCGGCTGGCCACCCTCGCAGTGCGGCCGGTGATCGGCTGGCCACCCTCGCAGTGCGGCCGGTGGTTGGCTCGCTACCCTCGCAGTGCGGCCGATGGTCGGCTCCCCACCCTCGCAGTGCGGCCGTTGGTCGGCTCGCCACCCTCGCAGTGTGGCCGGTGGTCGGCTCGCTACCCTGGCAGTGTGCTGGCGGTCGGTGGAACGCTGTTGGAACTCCGCTGGGGTGTTAGTCACAGCTAGGAACAGAGAGCGTTCGAAATCTTCGAAAGGAAATGTTTCACTTTATTCAATTTTTAGTTTTGTGAGTTAGTTTAGTACTGACTCACTGACCTTGATGTAGTTGATGCATCTTGTTACATTGTCAGGCAGCGGGATAGCGAAGTTTTCCACGATCCGTTTTGCCGGTTGCGTTGTTGTGGCAACGTGAGCCTTCTTGATTACACTTTTTGGCTTTGGCAGGTACAAAGGTGAGGAGCACCGACTTGAACTGAAGCACAAGCGGAAGATGGAGGAACTGAAGGCTTTGAACGAGTCCGCCGTGAAGGAGCTGGAGCAACTGCACAACGAAAAGTGTGAGCGCCTCGCTGAAGCTCTGGAGAGTCGGCATCACCTCGTTTGCGTTCGCCACAGGCCACGTTGGCGAACAACCGACAATTTGCGCCCTGGACCTCTCGCTGGCACCCCGTACCGCCGGAGGGCGGTCCGCCCCGCGCGGGGTCGGTCCGATCTGTTTGGGGGAGCTGGTATGGGTCGGACGGGCTGTGCTGGTCTCGCTGACGGAGCGCCGGTCGCAGGTCGGACGATGCTGGATCACGAGGATGCCAAGCTGCGCTCTGTCGAGGAGCAGTACTTGGCCGAGGTGCAGGAGTGGCGCCAGACCCTGGAGCCGCGCCGCCTGGTGAGAGCGCCGCCACATACCGGCCACTCTTGGGTCGTGCTTGCTGCTTATGCAAGATGGATTTTTCGCACCCTGCTATCACACGAAACATGATACCCTATTTTGTTGAAACCATATTCAGCCTTTGTACGGAAGCTAATGTTATGCGGTTGATATGCAGAGTTTCGGTGTCAGTTTCGTGTTGTGTACTTCATGTGAAAATGACCCCGCGTATGAATCGAAACCCTGTGAAGCCCAGTGTATGAAGATGAGTCTAAATGTTTGCAAACGTTACAATTTTTAAAATGTCTTGGTAAACCTCCGTTTTCCATCTCGCCACTTCGCCCATGTCCCGCTTGCTCTGGCAGAAGCTGGAGGAGGAGCTGGCTGCCGACCAGGAGTATCAGCCGGAGTCGTCGCCGGCCGCCGCCAGGGACGGCTTCGTCAGCAAGGTGACGCTCAGTAACGGCCGCAGCAGCCTGGGCCGGGCCAGCACGGTCAGCGGCCACTCCCAATGACGCCGACCGCGCGCCTAGAGCTGACCTGGGCTCGACCGTGGCAGCCTCCGGGCGCAGGGACGCTCCAGGAACAGTGCTCAAGTTGGGGAGATATTCCCCAGTAGAGGGACCCCCCCCCCCCCCCGCTCCCCCATTTGGGACACAACCCTGTGTGGAGTAGGGAGGAACGACAGCCGTCAGCGTCTGCGAGTGACGTGTTGGCGGTAGAGGCCGTCGTGCCCGGCGGGGCCGCGGCCTGGACCACCCGGGTGTGGGCGGTGCGTCTAGTCGGACGTCACCGGCGGACGGTGTGCCAAACGAAGCGACGAAGCGAGTCTAGTCTGCGCGTGCGGGTCAGAGCCGTGGACCGGGCGCTCGGCGGCTGGTGATGGTGTTGGTGTGAGCTTCGGCGACGAACGGTGGCTGTGTCAGCTGCTCGTGATTCATTGGTGGCGTCCTCCTCCGCTTACGGTGCTGTTGTAGGCAATCAAGAATGGCGTTATATGGCGTGTCTAGTGCTTGTCGCACTGATATATTATTACATATATACGTATATAAGTAAATGTCCGCCGCCAAGGCTAATTTTCATCATGATGATGCATTGATGACGCTTCATTGATGCGACTAATTTTAGCGTTTGTGATGACCGCGCTACCGCTGCCATGCTTCCTGTGATGACGTCCCCGTAGTTTATAGAGCAGCCGACTGTATAGTTTGTTGCGCGCGGCTTCTGCCGCCGTCCGTACCGGCGAGAGGGTGTCGAGATGGTGACTGCCTGATCGCGGCCGTTCGCGCTCACCCATCGCCCGTCACGTCCGCTTCGCGGCCCGCTAACGGCGACGGTTCACCGCGTGTCTTCCTGCCGAGCGGTTTGTGGGCGGCGAGGTCGTTTCATAATACAGACGGGCGCTTGTACGTGCCGAAGATGTGATGGTTCTAATGTACTAGATGTACTAGATCTAGATGTACTAAGTTCCATATTTTGTAAATTGAAATTTTCACTCCCGGCCGGCCTTTTTGCGATGGGATTTTTCACTTCCACCCTAGTTCAAAAGCAATTTCAGCTCACTGCGAAGATGCGCTGTACCGTGCGGTACCGTGCCGTGCCGTACCGCGCCGTATCGTACCGTAATGCGCCGGTAGTTGGCACTGTCTCAGCGTCGCCCAGCGTGGAGTGCGGGCTGGGCGCTGCGCTTGCTGAAAGCGTGATCAGACCATCGACTGAAGAACAGGCGGTGACGCCGGCTATGCTTTCGGCAGCCAGTGAATGTGAAGCACGCCACGAGTCGTCCGCTATTCCGTTTTTCCTGCGACGATATGCAACACATGGGATATCTAGGATGCCCTGTGTCAGCAGGTGAGCTCGTTGAAAGTCGTAGGTCATTAATGCGGTCGCCAATGAGACTAGCGACGCTTTAGCCGTCTTGTACGCTATGTAGTGGCGCAGTGCTATCTGGTCGACATACAACCATGCGTCAATGTAAATGGTCAGTGACCCAGAAATCAATTTATCACGACTTGAATAGGTTATTCTCAGCCAATATTGGACGGGTAGAATGCCTTCCCTTCTTGGGGAGCTGCGACCCACCTTTGTGATTCAGTCTCCGGCGCATGAGACACATGAAAGGTGTTGGGATGAAAACCTGTCTTACGATTTGGCCCCACTGCCTGACATGACATTCCTTCGCTTAGATATGATAGCAAAAAGAGTCGAGGCGTCGTCTGCACGTGCTCAGACTGTCAAGATCCTACAGTTTTCAACTCATTCGATTTGCGAGGTATGTGATCGGGCCCACGTACAGTTGTTTGGTTAAACTAGTGTATTGAGTTATCGGCACTGGGGACGCCTCGGTCGGCGAAATTGATTTCCGTGCTAAGCGCTAGAGGTGCAGATTGTTACAGTCGGCGCAGCTGACTGATTGGGCGCGAAGACAGGAACCCGGTTACGAAGACACATCCCCTAATAACTCGTCCTCCCCTCCCTCCCTCAGCTGGTAGTGTGCGGGTAAACAGACCATCAGTGACCAGACTTGTGCTCCATTCCACTTGGGAGGAATCTACTCCAAATCTGAATCGAATTATGTGGAGCCAAATCCGAATATGATTCATCACTGTTAAGTATTGGAATTGTGCTCCATTACAGGTGGAAGCGAGTGATAGCCAATTGTTCTCGTTCCGTCGCAAACAACATGAATTAATTCAAACTCCGATGCAGCGGAACAACCGATGGCGTCGAATCGTATTCGATGCTGACCAAAGCAAAGCGACTCCGAAATTGCATTCGATTCCATTCAACCACAAGCATGTCGGTGCCTCCCCGGCTTAGGGAAGTGGTGTACGGCTCGCGATGCGTAATCTAGAACTGACCAGACCTTGTCACTAAATTGCTAGTTGCATAAAGCCACAACATTGCAGTTCTTAATCTGATGTCAGTATTCCTTCATGCTGCTAAGTTAGGGTCTACCAGCATTGTTTTGCGTGTGGTCATTCGATCGCGCGCGTGGTTACACCACCGCATTCGCATAACAAAAATGTGCAGGAGAGCGGGCACGTGAATGAAATATTACAAAGGGCAGCAGGCTGTCACCACATTCTGAACAGCGAAGTAGGCGTGTCGTGTTCAGTGCGTCAATATAAGGTTTGGAAATGAGGGCCGCTACAAAAATCCACAATGTGAAGCACTATGGTAAGATTTGTGTTTCCGATAGACTATCACACGATCAACGACAGTCCGTAAAGGCTCGGCCATCCAATGTCAAGTATATTCAAATTCACGAAAAATCGCAGTCAATGGTTTAAATATTACGCGGCTAGAGTACATGGTTACCTTAAGGTTTAAACGTTTGCTGCCTGCTCTGTTTCAGATATGACACAAGAAGTGCATAAATACTCGCGTGCATTCGTTCGAAACAACCTGCCAGTTTAGCCAATCACACATTCATTCCCCGTTTCCCATCGCAGCTTCCTTCTTGCACACCGTCAACGTCACAGGAGTACATCCCCGTTGAGTGCTGCGTTACACAACCCCACGCAAAAAGCGGCCATCCATGGGCAGCGTCGCGGTGCTCAACCTCACCTCCGGCCAGCGAGCATGCGACTCCAGCGTCTCCAGACACCCCTCTGACCTGTTGCCGCAGGATGGCCGCCCTTCCCAGGCGCCCTCCCAGAGGCGGCCATCCCGGTCCTCGCGCGGCGGCACGCTCGCCCTCAGAAGTTCTCCTTGCGGAACTCGAAGCCGAACTCGTCGCACTTGTGCCGCACGATCCGGGACAGCTGCGGCGGGCCGCAGAAGAAGACCGTCACCTTGCCCTTGCGCTGCTCCTGGATCTGGCGGAACACCTTGTTCCAGTTGGGTCGGCCGGCGATGGTGCGCGTCTTCAGGCCGGTTATCATGTCCCGCTTTTCCTGCCGGCGGGTTTGACGTCACAGGGAGCCGCGGAGCCGGGACGCACCGGCGCGCTCGTCTCAGAGCGGCGCAGGAAAACATTTACACACAGGACCCGCGAGTGACTGGCGAAAATAGAGTACGGGACAGGGCACGAGTGGGGAGCGCTCTTGATTCCGGAAGCAGGTGCGGTTTCGCTTCGACTAGTCAGGGACATTTCGATGAGCTGCACTGCACGGAACGGGCTTCGTTTAACATGGCTACGAATGCTTACTGCAGAAGCGGAAGCTCTGTGATGAGTAAAGTCCGTCTGTATTTTTTAAAGGCTTGAGCACGAAGTTCGTACGTAAGAGCGAATGAAATAAAGTGTGGTAATCTCCCAACGAAGCGTACATTCGGATGGACAGTTAAGACGAACCTTCTCGTGCAGCAGGTCCAGCGCCAGCTGGAGACCCACGGCCTTCATATCGGTCTTCTGCAGCGCCGACGTGATGTACATGTGCATGTCGAGGAAGCGGTCCATGACACCGCCCAGCTCGGCCTGCTCGATCTCCAACTGCGACAGCAGGTTCACGAACCACTCGAACGAGCGCTGGTCCCGGTTGATCCAGAAGAAGTCCACCTGAAGCCGACAGCCAGTTAGGGGACGGCGCCGGCGGCCGGAAATGACCCTGCCCTTCCTCAGGCGAACACCGCCCGGAAGCAAAAGGCATTTCAATTCCCGGACATGCGCAAATTTTGAGACCACTCCCGGCACGACTAGGACATGTAGCGAAGTGAGAAGCAGAAGTGAGAGCAAGAGCTGGAGAACTGTGGTCCTCGCCAGAGAACCGCATGATGCTCATCCCAGTCAACGACCGGCACCCCTCCCTGATCCGCACCGGTCACGGCGCTGTCTGCTCGGGCCGGATCGCCGCCCCACCAGTCACGCTGGCAGCCCTGGCGCCCGCGGCATCAGACGGCGCCGCCGCGCGCCGGACCAGCGTACCTTCTTCAGGTTCATGACGGAGGCCGGCAGCTCGTCCGTCCACTTGTGCTGGCAGCGTGGGCAGCGGTGACAGTTCTTCCAGTAACGGTGCATGATGGACTGGAGGATCGAGGCGAACGGCGTGACGCCAATGCCCGTGCCGATCAGCACAGCGTGCTGCGCTCGGAAGATGTGGCTGGAAGGCGCCCCGTAAGGACCGTCGAAGTAGATCTGCGGGTCGGGCGGGAGGGGTGGTCACCCTCACGCCATGACACTGATCAGTGGTCAGTTCCATGGCACTGGTCAGTTCTATGCGATAAGATTTGTCCGCCTCGCGCAGTGCTGGTCAGCGCTATTCGAATGAACGGCGGGGTCATTGTATCGTCCCAGGCCGGTCGTCACCACACGAATGCAGGACGGCTTGTCATGTGGTGGTGGGGGGGGGGGGGGGGAATGAACGACTCAACCTCTTTCGCCCAATGTACACCACCGACGGGGAAAACATTACCGGGACGGAGGAAGTGGGGGAGTAGAACGCGCAGAACGGCATATTTGTTCTGTGGAAATTACCCACATGGTTCACCGGACTGGAATCCTTCCAGCGGCTCATCAGCCAGTGTACCTCGCCTCCAGCGGCTCACTGGACAGTGTCCCTCACCTCCAGCGGCTCACCAGACAGAGTCCCTCACCCCCAGCGGCTCACTGGACAGTGTCCCTCGCCTCCAGTGGCTTACCAGCCAGACAGTGTTTCTCACCTCCAGCGGCCCACCGTACAGTGTCCCTCACCTCCAGCGGCTCACCAGACACTGCCCCGTACCTCCAGCGGCTCACCGGACAGTGTCCCTCACCTCCAGCGGCTCAGCAGCCAGACAGTGTCCCTCACCTCCAGCGGCTCACCGGGCAGAGTCCCTCACCCCCAGCGGTTCACTGGACAGTGTCCCTCACCTCCAGTGGCTCACCGGACACTGTCCTCACCTCCAGCGGCTTGCCGACCGGGTAGCGCAGCTCTGTCCCGCTAGGCGGCGCCGTTGTCGGCGCGTGCCCCTCCTCCGCCTGGCCGGGGTCGGAGCGGGGCCGCTCGGGCCGCGCCGCCGCTCCCAGGCTATCCAGGGAAGGCGTCTTGAACGCGATGATGGTGGGCTTGCGGCGCATGTAGCGGAAGCTGTGCGCCACCGACTTATTTTGCGGACTCTGCGGCAGGAAGCCAGCGAATCACTGCAGCACCCGGCACAGTAGGGACTCTGTGTGACGGTGGGGACTCTGTGTAGCGGCGGGGACTCTGTGTGACAGTGGGGATTCTGTGTGACGGTGGGGACTATGTGTGGCGGTGGAGACTCTGTGTGACGGTGGGGACTCTGTGTGACGGTGGGGACTCTGTGTGACGGTGGGGACTCTGTGTGGCGGTGGAGACGCTGTGTGACGGTGGGAACTCTGTGTGACGGTGGGGACTCTGTGTGACGGTGGGGACTCTGTGTGACGGTGGAGACTCTGTGTGGCGGTGGAGACTCTGTGTGACGGTGGGGACTCTGTGTGACGGTGGGGACTCTGTGTGACGGTGGGGACTCTGTGTAACGGTGGGGACTCTGTGTGACGGTGGGGACTCTGTGTGACTGCGGGGATTTTGGGCGACATTGCGGCTGGGAGAGCGCAGAGCGTGTCTTGAGGCCACTGAAATTGGCGCGTAAAGAACTAACAACCAGTGTAAGAAGCACTTACCTTACAAA